TCTGCAATAAATGCATGAACGTCATCAACGCCATCATACGTCGTGGGGATCACACGTCACGACTGCTAAGCAGCTAAGTGTTGTATATTGGGAGACCAGCTTTTCATGTTGGGCAGACTGCCGGATGGCTTGGTGTCTTCTCTCCATGAACCTTGGCAGACTCCTTAGAGCATGCACTGTCTGCCCACCTGACACAGATTTTGGTAACTAAATTTTTTTTTTATATATATATCTGTGGATTGTTTAAATACCAAATTGAAAAGATCTTATTGGAAGAACTGTTTGTAATAGGATATCTTATTTCTGGGGAAAAAAAAAAATCCATACCTTCTTGAAAGCTGGCACTTTTGGTCATTTAGATAGCTTCTCAGTGAAACTGCCTGAGCTGTTTTCTTGCATGTGCCTGCTCATCTTGTATTTGGAAGTTCTCAGCCCCATGCCCAAATTTCCTTCAGTCTTGGGAGAGATTTCAGTGTCTAGGACTCAGCTAAAGGAATTTTGGAATTATCTGACATTTGATTAATCCTGCAGTGGTAGGTATTCAGCATGTCCTCAGCACTCTCTTAATGGTTAGCTGGGAAGTTTTCTATAATATCAACCTGAACCTTCCCACAGCTGATATCTACAAACCCCTGTCCAGTTTCTTGTTATGCTGGTTAGTACTTGGAGGACATGAGGAGTAATTAATTAAACACTCTTTACAGCTTTTACATAGACTTGGGCACAGGCTTTCTATTCAAAGCAAGTATTCTTCACCACAGAATAAGAACTAAAATTCCTATTTACACTGTATTTAAGAGACTATGCTTTTTTAGAGCAGCAGCAATGTGTAGGTTTGAGATAGATGTAGTGCCACGGGTGGGAAATCTGATGAAGCTGAAACTTCTCAGATCTCTCCTGAGTGCCTCGCAGGGCAGGAAAATGTGGTTGGTTCCAGGACCAGCTCCTTAAGCTATTTAGCTGCTACTGGAGCCTGGTACAGGCAGCTCAAGAATCATACATTTGGGGTATCTGCATTGGCTTTTCCCTAGAATCCACATGAGTTTAAGGAAGTGAAGGTTCACAGTGAGTGACATCATGACGAAGACTGCATATGCAGTACAATCTTGTGCAACATTCCCCGGTCATCCCAGTCCAGGGGACATCATCATTCTGATAAAGTTCACATTTGCCCCTAACTTCAGAGCAAGGATTTTACCTAAGGCTACAGTTCTTGTCCACTCTTAACAATTGGCTTCAGCTTCATCCCTCTTGGCCCTTAGTCTGAATAATCTTCAAAGTTCTCTATTCTTTTGATCACTTCATCTCCTTCCACCCACTTCTAATTTCTCTCCTACATATCAGTACTTCTCAGAGTCTTTTCATTTTCTTTCTCTCTCCTTGCGGTTAACCTCATCAGTGACTCTTTTTTCTGTGGAAGAATTGGGAATTGAAATCATTGGTGCTTTTGGATGAGATGTGGTAAGAAAACAGCTTCCCACTTTCTAAAAATTCTGTTTCTGCCTTTGTTGGGAAAGGTGTGGGGTTTCATAAAGCAAGGTCAATAGAATATAGATTTAAGTACTTCTCCTGTTTCCATGTGTTGTATCTGCATGTGGTCTTTGAAGGCAGATGGCAGCAGTGCAGGAATCGCAGGGTTTGCGGATGCTGAGCAGCAAGGTGGGAGAAGTTTACTCCCAGCCAGCCTCACCCCTCTTTGAAGCACAACCCAGCGTGGCCTGTTTCTGAATGTGACCTGCAGTGTTTGGCTGAGTGATGCTGTAGCTCTGAACTATGATATTTGTTTTTAAGTAATTACTTTCTCATAGTTGTTAGGCTTTTCTTTTTTTTTTTTCTTATTTTACTTTTTACTCCTAACATAATTAATTTCTGAGACTGATGCCAAATTTTTCCAGTTGTAAGCTATTAGCAGACAGTAAATCACCAGCAGATTCTGACTGAGAAGAACATATTTATTCAATATAAAAAGGTACCTTTCTAAGACCCTGTTTGATTATTTTTGGGGGGGTGAGGAAAAGAATAAATTAAAAGGGAATCCACTCATAATTCGTCAAGGTTGCAATCTATAGAGTGATTAGTATAGAGAATGCCAACTTCTGACATTTGTGGTGCCAAGGAAATTTTGTCTTTTTGGTGGGTTGATAGCTTAAGGAGAGCGCAGTGCCTCTGTTGAAACGCCTGTCATATCACCAACATAAATTGCAGCGAGTGGTTTTACACCAGGGAGGCCTCGCTAATGGAGTTCCTTCCATCACCGTCCTACCGTGAGCACAAGACCCTTTCTGCGAGCGGTTCCTGGCCCTGAGAGCAGCTGTGGCTTAGGGCTGCCCAGACCCCAGCATGGTTTGAGCTCTGTGAAACTGTTTTAAACTGCTGCTGCTCCCAAATTCTGTGTTTCCCCCCTGCTGCTTCTGCCGCAGTGTAAGACTCTGAAGCACAGGTCTGCAACGTGCTAGGCCGGGATGGGTTTGTCCGGAGGGACTGGGGTATCTGAGGTTCTATAGCTTTTTGCTTCTTTTTTTTTTTATTTATAATCCCTCTTGCTTTCAGCAAAATTCGATGAAATAGCAAATGGGCTGATGAAATTCCGGTGTGTTATCCCTCTGTGAATCCAAGGAGAGTTCTCTTGCCCTCAAGTAAAGCAGAGGAAATGGGAGAAGCTTTTAGTTAAAAATACATAAGCAAGCCTAAGTCTTGCGCAGGAGCAGATCCTTCAGGTGCTGGGATAATTTTTATGGAAGAGATGGTGGTGTCCGTGGAGTTTGGGCTAGCTGACAGGATAGTCAGGGACAAATTCACAGGGCCACAACTTTGACATTTTAAAATTCCCCCTCAGGCTTCTAATAACTTTGTCGACGTGTGGGGTGTGTGGGGCCCTGTGAGGAGGGCCGGGGCTGCCCCGAGCTGGACAGGGCTGGTTCTGGGTGGTCCCAGGCGCCAGGGCCCGGCCGCCC